GCCTCACTCTGGAGCCTCATGTGTGCACCCCTGACTCCGAAGGGCAGGACCCCTCAGCCCTGACAACTGGGGACACCCCCGAACACAAGGTGGGTCTCTGGCCGCAGCGCCCTGAGCCCCGCATCTGGGATGTGCACACCGGGCCATGGGCTGAGGAGACAGCAGTGTGGGAGCCACAGGGTCAGCGGGGCAGCTGGGGGGTCACCGTCTCCCCGCTGGGGGCCCTTATCTCCCAGGGTGACACTGGAAGCGCCTCCAGGGACCCGGGTCACCTACCTGGTCCAGGGCGTGCAGGCTGCCTGGGTGCCCCCCGCAGAGAAGGTGCCCGGCTGGCAGTCTTCACACAGCGTGTCCTGCCACTCGGTGCCTGAGAAACGACAGTGTCGGGCAGAGGGCTCCTCAGGGACCCCCTCAGGCCGGGGGCCGGGGCCTGTGTCCTCAGGGGGAGCCGCGCTCACCTGTCTCCCGCACCCTCTGGCCCGGCCGGCAGACCCTGTGGGGCCTGCACTGGACGCAGGAGTCCCCGTCCTGTTTCTCACAGAAGTGGCCGCGCCCGCAGCCGCACACGGTGTTGGTCTGGGCGGAGCACTTCCGTCTGGTCACCTGGCCCAGGCCTGGGACCCAGAGAAGGAGCTCAGAGCAGCAGCAAGGCCTGCCAGGGCTGGGGGAGCGCCCCGTCCCGGGAGGAAACCACGCTGAGGGCTGGGCAGGGCCCGCAGGCCTGGGGAGGGCACGGGGACAGGGGTGCAGCCCCCTCTGCTCCCCATGGACCCTGCTGGCCGCAGCCCAGGCTCAGCCGGAACATAGGCCCGGAGCTGCCAGACGCAGAGGCCAGTCCCAAGGGGGGTCTGAGGGACGGGGCGGCAGCAGCAGGAACGGGGGCAGGGTCTTCTCCACAGAAGGCCAGGCCTCCCGGGGCGGCTGAGACCTCCCAGCCTGAACCCCAACAGGAAGTGGGACCAGTCAGCCAAGGAACAGGCCCAGAGGCGACACCCAGGCCTGGGTGCCCCTCAAACAGGTTTCCCTCCTGCAAACCAGGCAGGTCAGAGGGCAGCCACAGGGCAGGGGCCATCAGCTGGCAGCGGAGGGGCAACAGGGGTGCCATCCCCCCAGCCCAGCCCAGGCAGCTGCTTCCTTTGTGGTTGCAGCACCCAGTCCACCCCCGCTGCACTGAACCCCAAAGCATTGTGGCCTCCACCTTGATCCCGGCCTTCCTCCTGGGGTGCCCCAGCCCAACCACCTGCCCTGGGCAGGGAGGAGACCCAGGGGCCAGTGCTCAGCCGGAGGAGGACCCTGGGGAGGGTGTGGGGTTCTGGGAACTGGCACTGCAGGTGGAGGAGGCCCAGCCCCGGGCAGCCTGAGGGCCTGCAGTCAGTGTGGCCGGGATTCGGGGGCTGGGGGTTCGGCACAGCCGGGGTTTGGCTCCTGGTCTCACCTGGGTCACAGACGCCGCACGGCAGACACTCGGCCAGGGCATTGAGGATGGGAGTGTAGGTGCCGGGCGTGCAGGCCACACACACTGTGGTCCTGAGCTCCCCGCAAGCCTCCTGTACCCGGTAGCCTGCAGCCAAGCGGAAACACACTCAGGGCGGGAAGGCCCCGGGAGCCAGGGCAGGTGTGACACCCCCCCAGGGGTCACCCCACCT